TTGCTGTATCGCACAGGTATGCTGTCCCCTACAAGTGGCAAAGCTACAGTCTGCGGTTACGATGTTTCCACGCAACGACAGAACGTGCGCCGGAGAGTCAGCTTCTGTCAGCACAGATATCTTCTTCGATGACCTTACTTGTGCCGAAAACGTCCTCTACTTTGGATCGGTATCACCCCAATGCCTTATGTTAAGCACCGACTCAGAAGCATATATGGAGGGAATTCGGTGATGAGCAGGGCAGTGACGTCGTAACGCGGCGATGACGTCGGCCACATCAACACCACGCCCCCTTTGAACCCATCCCATATTTTGCTACATGCGCCACGGCAATCCAGACTAGGTTGCTTACGCGCTGTTCGTTTGCGAACTAGTACCACTAAAGAAATTGTGAACGCAGTAGTTTCATTTTAATGATAGTGTGCAACATTCAAATAATAGAAGTACTGAAACCCAAAGCTATGTACACGGACACCAAGCCGACAATTTTCTAATTGAAAGTGCAGCTCTTTAAAGCTTGATGAAAAGCTCGCTTCGCAGAATATTTCCATGTTGGTGGGTGTGAGTGGCGTTGTCGACATCGTCGTCCTTAGCGGTGATTGGAAAACAAGCGTTGGCAGTGAGCGAAATTCGGAATTGATGGAATGAAGACGCAGCCCAAAGATGGTGCCCCGTACACTTCGATTTTCCTTGTCCAAAATGTAGGTCTCCACAGAAAAGCCAAGGCAAGTAGCGTTTTGAAAACGATAGTGTGTGCCCGCCCTCGTGCGTCTCTAGGCGCACGCGGGTGTGCGTGCATGTGCGTGTGGTGTGTACTTGGCACGCATTTGCGTGCGTGCACGCTTGCACACACCACACACACCACACACACACACACACACACAACACACAACACACACACACACACACACACACACACACACACACACCACACACACAACACACACACACACACACACACACACACACACAACACACACACACACACACACACACACACACCACACACACACAAACAAACACACACACACACACACACCACACACACACACATTTCTAGTCTAACGAGTCTCCAAATTTCTTTTTCTGGAAGCCTAAACGATGGTACGCATTCATCACTTCAGGAAACAAGAGCGCAATAAGAACTAATTGACGCAGTCAGTTGACGCATGAAATATCGGGTCGAATACACAAGTCCCATGCACGCTGCTCAGAGGTTATGGTGGCTGACCACCACCGTTCCGTTCCGTGCTGCCGCTGCCGGCTAGGAGAGACTGTTTACGTCAGGAAACGAGGTTTGCGTTGGGTGTGTGTACGAAGAGCGGCGGTATGAAACAGTCGGGAAAATCTCTGTAAGAGTATACATGACTGTACTGAATTGACCGCTTTCATTTCACCTGTTTTGTAACTTAAAGCATGACGCGAAGTGGATACATGAGATACACCCCAGGAATGTAAACTAATCTGTAGATTGGACTTCAAAGAGGGGCATATAAGTCAAGAGACATATACGCTATCAAAACGCACTTTGCCAACTCCACGTTGTCAACTAATGCTGAAGATCTTCACCTTCTATCAGCTATTTTTATGGTGAAATAACACTGCTGGTATTTTATTGTGCTCTCTGAAGATTTTAGTACTGTTTCAAGCAATAAGTGCTTGTAAGAAGTTTCTGAGAAAAAAATAGGGCACATTTACAATTGTGTGCGTCAGGTATTGTCAGGTGTTGTGCAACATTCGTTGGCATCACGTTTTAACATTGAGGCACTGCTTCTATTTGAAGAAGTGCACACGTAACAACCTCCAATTTTCATTTCCCGTCATTTGTCACGAGTTTCAGTCATCTGTCACCGCATGTGAAGGTGTTGGAAGTGCAAACGATAGTAACGCGTTGCTGAGCGTGTCGCTGCTATTTTACTGTAAAAGGTATGAAAGAATGCACTGCTGGAAACATTGCATCTTTGTAGCTCAAGGGAGCAAAACGAAGCAAGCTGGTCTAAATCCGTGACAGAGACGCTGGATTAGTCGGTATTGGAGACAAAGCCAATAGGATGCCCAAGGAACTCTCTGGAGGTATGAAGAGGAGACTCAGCATGGCAATGACCCTCGTTTCAGAGCCAGACGTAAGTCGTTTTGATATATAAAACAAAAGCCAGTCATTTTTGCGAGCAGAATTAGCGGGGTTTATTGTAATGAGCAGGATCGTTTTATTCAAAGTCACTTACATTTTCACTACTTCCTATCGCACTAATCGATAGAATTTGCCACCTGGTGTTTATAAATGTTGTAAGTCCCACGGTTCACTGCATCCACTGTAGTTGCTGCATATATTTGCTTGCTCATTTATAGTTTACTTTAAACAGCAGTTACTGCCTGTACTAATTACTAGAACTGCCCGGCCTAGTGAATTGTCCTAATAATATATAAATGTTTTTTGCTTCTGATCATTGATAATGTAACGGAGATAAGCAGCGCTGGAGTAAGGAAGATGTACAACTAAAAGCATGGGGCTACAGGTAGTGTTTTTACTTGTCTGTGCCTCCCATCTGTTATGTGTTTTTTTGCATTTGGCGATGCTGGCAGTACGTTTTCTTTTACCTTGACACGATCAAATCCGCTTGTAGTGGTCACAAGTACCTATGTAAGACTTCGTTTTTACACCTAATAATGTACACCAGGTTAAAAAATAAAACTTTGAAGAAAGAGCAAAGCTTCTAGGCCTGATTTATTCAGCATTTTATGTGGTTGTGGGTGAAAAAGAAAGAACTCCAGGAATTGACGTCTGCTTCAAAACAACCAGAGCAGCCCGACGCACAACACCTTCGCCGTTGTAGCGAGGCCAACTCTCAAAGGAGTCGAGTATGTAAAAAGTGTTTCCGTTGCTTCCACGGCATACCCTAGATACATAGGTGTGTTAAAGAACGCCTCAGTAGAGTGGTCGCCTGACAAATTTGCTGGTAAGGTTGACAAACCCTGACAACAATTTGCTCAAGTAGTTAGCGGGTGAGGCCTCTTTCGGCTTTTAGCCTTTAGTCTTTGCCTCATGCAGGGAAATGCTGTATTGATTTTATCTGCCCCACAAAAAATGTCGAATGTTGTTACCGAATGTTGTCTGCAATGATGGCGTGTCAGGCAAGGTGAAAATATTGCTTGCTGAAGTTTGTGAGTAGAATACGTAGCTGACAGATTACCCAGGCTAGGCGTCTTTGTCGTGACAAAAAAGGCAAGGCAAGTTTGCCTACACGAGTACAACGTTTGACATGGTCTGTCCCGATTGATTTATATGTGGGGTTTAACGTCCCCAAAACCACTATATGATTATGAGAGACGCCGTAGTGTAGGGCTCCGGAAATTTAGACCACCTGGGTTCTTTAACGTGCACCCAAATCTGAGCACACGGGCCTACAACATTTCCGCCTCCATCGGAAATGCAGCCGCCGCAGCCGGGATTCGAACCCGCGCCCTGTGGGTCAGCAGCCGAGTACCTCTAGACCACCGCGGCGGGGCATGGTCTGTCCCGATCGCACAGTGAAAAAAGAAGCTGCTGAAAGGGTAGTCACAAAATCATTGCCAATACGTAACGCTGTCTTTGGGGAAGGGGCGCTTTCCAATTAAGCACAAAACAGCCCCCGAACGATACGAATAACTTGCGGAGGTAAGTTATGCGCCATATTCTCGAAGAAAATCCACTCCCAGGATGATTGGCTGGCCACACTCAGGCAACAAAAGGGAAGACCCCACAGAAATCGACGCATGAATTTTAACTCATGCGGTGAACATTCCAGTCGCATCACCAGATGGCCACCTGTTGTGCACAACGGCAGTCGTTGCAACGGTGTGGCAACTTTCCACAGCTCTGATGCTAGTGTGGCGCTCTTAACCTAATAGTCGGCACGGGTGACATAATCGTCGATGACAACATGATTTCCAACAACAACGGCGAAATCTCTTTTACTGACGAAAAATAGTGAAACCGGAACTCTTGTCATCAGGTCGTTGCGTCGAGGGAAGTTCTTTGAAATTTTGTTGGACAGCGACTTCACTGTAACAAGCAGTGGTTGTTATTACCAGGCGCGCCTGAACAGTCAAATCATGCGCTTGACAAACAACGAGGCTCCCTGGTTGGACCACTGGTTTCAATACGAGATTGCTTGCTGAGCTCTTCTTTCTTTCGGTGCGGCAATGGACGTCGCGGAGCTGTAGCCTGAACTCTTTGCCGTGTCGCAAAGGAGTCCTCCTTGTTTTCGTACTAGGTTGTGTGGCACCTCCGCGTGGAGTAAACTGCTCGCAGCTTGCGACCATCAACACATTCGTGATGCGCGCAACCAAACCAAGTGGTTCGGCCAGTCCCCCCATGCCCTCGAAAATTTCTCCAAATAACGGTCTTGGCGTCTAGGGCATATGGAAAGCATGCTCCAAAGGAGGGAAATGGTCCTCGTTTAGTGTGACTCGCCTGGATTCTCGTCAGAGTCCTCTGGGTGAGTCTCAATGACAAGACCGACGTTCAGCAAGTATTCCAGGCTGGTGGCGGCTTCTTCTCGTTCTGACAGATTTCGCCGTCCACAAGTTGCTAGTGTTGATGGCTAACACCTGGGAGCCAAGACACATATACTCCTTACCTGCACCGATAGTCTCGTGGATGAAACATGACAGAAAGCCAAGAGTGAACGTCTGCTCCAAAATAAGATCAGCAGGAAGGTTCTTTCTTACTTTTAAAAACGGTATGTCCTACAGTGGATGGTTTATAAATAATATGTGCCAATACGTATTTAAACACGTGTACTTTTTACTCCTATCTGCCAACTACATTGGAAGTGATTACAGTGCACCACTGCCGTTTTACAATTTTGAGAAGCCTAAGTTGTCGAAAACAATTATTATGTTGCAGCTACTAATTCTTGATGAGCCGTCAGCAGGCATGGATCAGAAACGAGGCGTAATGTGTGGGACGTCTTGCAGAAAGTAGCGAAGCAGAGACCCTTCTTCTCTCCTCCCACGACATGGAGGAGGCTGATGCAATTGCTGATCAGATAGTCATCATGGCTGCCGGCGTGGTTGTGTGCACTGGATCAACAACGTTCCTCAAAAAAGCATGTGGTAAGCTTATACCCACCCCTCCTTTTTCAATTCTAGCTCATTCATCCATGTTTGCCACGGTTCATAATTGAATATACATCCATGCAATGCAGGTTGTACGAAGTCCTCTGCATTAAAATCCTTTACAATACGGTTTCATGCAGTATTTACCTCATTGCCTTCCTAGGAAGAACGTCGGGAGCTCTTTCCGCGAAGGACTTCATTACTGCTTCGAGATTTAGAGTGCGGTGGCTGATAAATTCTACTTTCGCCAACTAACCAGGCGAAACCAAATACAAAACGCTGAGGAGCGCTAGCGCCATACATTTCAGAGATGTCCACGATGTAAATCGCACATAAAACAATCGACTTAGCCGCACCGGGTACGCTTGTCACAGTGGCATAAAGTGCACGTGGGTTAAAGAGTGTACAGCTCACACTAGCGTAATCTTGCAAATTAGTGACGCCATATTGGTCACATGCTACTTGCGCTCAATCTAGACTCAGCTTTTACAATTAATTTTATGGAATTCTATTACTCCACAATAATTACGAGACATCAGTTTTCGAAATCTCAAATCACAAAGGCCCATACGCAAGAAGCACTTAAGTCGTTTCTATTCACCAACCTCCTATGTACGCTAACTAAAAAGTTAGTTGCAATGACTGACGCAATCTAGGCGTCAGCTATTGTTATAGGTCTATTATGAGGGACTAAATTGTGAAAGCACAAAACAATTATTGAGAATCCGCTATCTTGGATGTTTTTAGACAAATTTCAAGAAACCCCCAAGAAAAAAAAAACATAGTTACACCCACTGTGTTCGGCGAAAACAGCGCGAAAAAAAACACGACAAAGTAAAGGAATGACACAAGATATTCTTCCCTTTGTGTCCATTCTTTTAATCCTGTGCCCTTTTTCTTTGCTCTGTTTTTGTTTTTGAGGATTTTTATGAATCGTCACCAACCGTTACACAATGTTCATTAGAGTAAGTAGCAGTTAAGCATGGCAGTTCGCCCTGTCAACATAGAGAAGCAGAAGAATGAGGCACTCTTCATGTGATCTGATGTACATACAAACCAGTGTGATGCTGTTAACACCTCATGCAATTTGGCGCTTAAGTGCAACCAGCGTTCTATATCTCTTCCGCAAACGGAATGCCAACAGTACTAGCCCTTCCAACGGTTCGACGTGTCAACGTCAATGCTGAACACCCACCTGGAAGCTTTAAGAGTGGCACATGTTGCCGCGTCTCGCAAACTGATAAAAGGGAATTGATGGGCGGATGCTGAAAATCCAACCGAAAATTTGTTTAAACAGCACAGCACAATCTATAAATGAGCCAGATAAGTTATGCCAGTTTATCACTGCATTCGTGCATGCTCTGTGCACCGCTCCACCCCCCCCCCCCCCCCCCGCCTACAAAGTATACACTCAGCACACTTCAACGACGAGTTTAATTTGTAAAACGGTGATCAGAAGTCCATCAATGCACTCGCTGATTATTACGAAGGCTGATAAACTGTGTTTTGTATTGATGCAGGCGTTGGTTATAAAGTGACGTTCACCAAAGTGCCGCAAGTGTTCAAACTCCATGATGCCATGGCTGTTGTTCAGAGGACCATACCCCATGCTGTAGTGGATGACGACAAGAAAGAAGAAGTCTGTATCGCTTTAGGCACTATGGAAAATGAGAACTTCCCGAGGATGTTTAGGATGCTCGAAGGTTCCATGAAAAGGCTCGGTATATCGAGTATAGGAGTCAGCGTCGCCTCCATGAAAGACGTCTACTTGAAGTAAGTTGGAGTGAATTCATCAAGGAATCAGATAATCGAAGAATCAAAGCGCTTAAAGCCTTATGCCAGCGTACAACTACAAACATATGTTTTAAAATCTTTATTGCAATTGTTGGAATAATTTTTCCACACTAAAGCGTGTTAATGATCTGTATAATTAACCTCCTCGGCCGCAGGGTATCCACTTAAGTACCGTTGTTTCAGTGGCTAGACATCACCACAATTAAATATCCGCATGGCCAAACTTGTCTTGCCAAATAAGCATGACTTGCTTTTGCTAAGCCCCGAGTAATGGCGCCATGTGTCTAGTAATATTCGGAAAATGAGTCAACCAAAATATTAGAGTACTGCACGAGTGCTGGGTTGCCTCTTGGCAATAAGTGAAAGCTTTTTTTTCTTTGTTGTGAAGTGAATGACAACGTCTATAGTACATTCCATCACCAGCACACACCATTAAGATCACATTTAAAGCAAAGTTTGGTTCGATACTCTTCTTGCACGTAATAATGGAGACTTCAAAGTTTGAGGTGTGCCCAAATGGGTACCACCCCATTTTGAGGCAAGTATTCATATTTTAGAGTTCATAATTTTTCTGCATTTGTTTTAAGGGTAAGAAACAAGTAATTCAGTTTTGCAAGAACCCTGTTTATTAGTGCATTTTAAGGACTAAGGAGGTTAAATTCTTCTACCCCAGTGTGTTTCTGCATTTTCCGCACTTGCAACATAGCTTTTTGAAGTCGACATAAATATAGGGGGATCATCGCCCACACTTTCTAGTTAGACTGCGAGAGCGAAGAATGACGAATAGAGAGAGAGCATGGGTGAAACTGAGTGGGTGAGAGACAAGCCTGGTGTGGCGAGCTTATTCCTTGGAAGCGAAGTGGTAGTGGTGTCGAGAAAGTTGAAGCAGTGTAGAAAGGAGGAGAGCAAAGGCGAAGCTATGAATGAAGCATATCACGCGGTGTGGAAGGGAGAGTAGAGCAGAAGCGTGATTGACTGTGCCAGTGAATGGGGTCAACTAACGATACCATGCCTTCGAGCGCAGTTGGCGCTGGTGAGAGGGCATGGTGTTCGCCTAGCGACGAATATCGAGCCGCAAAAGCTATCAGAACTGCAAGACAGGCCAACCCCTCGCGATGCTCACATGAAGCTTTGCATACTTCGTGTTCTAGGATCAACATGGACTGGGCACCTGGAGGAAAGGGCCGAGAAGATCCTGTTGATGGTATGTGGTGCACTGTTATTTTTAAAGCTCGGCATTCTCTTACTGGAATCTTTTTCACTTTCGTTTTTTCTCGGATATTTTTGTGGTAATGTTATCATGTATGCCAAATCTTACGCTTCTTTGACAAAAGTGTACCGCTCAGAAGGCAATTTTTGAAAATATAAAGCGTCCTTGTAAGAGGAAACAATATTTGCCTACGAATATCGCTATTGAGCCCAATGCGACACATTGAATACGCCAAAGTACATCTCCTCATTTTTAATATTATATTTATCCACTTGCAATATCTCATATATCTCATAACTTTTTGAGTTTTAGTTACCAGTACATAACAAGACTATGCTAATCTCTTCTCTTGTATCATACCAGAAGCACTTTTCCAATCTTTATGTTCAAGTATCGGTGTGGAAGGTTATGTAGGAGCAGATGGCTCTTCTCAGCATGTAAATATTCGCGTGTACTCCATCTAGAAGCATAATCATTCAGAAGAAAAAAATGAATTCAATACAGCATGCCTGGCCGAGTCTTTTTTTATCTACCGCCTGAAGAGGCCGACCTAACGTAACAACGAACATTTAAATATCGCATTCCAGTGCCGTAGTACACTGTCTGGGGCTTGTAGCGATAACTGAACAAGGTATACAAATTGAATTCTGACGTCACATACGTATAACTTTTGTGTAACTTGCTCCAAGTCATGAACTTAACGGCGCCCTTATCCATTTTGCAGAAAAAAGTGATCGAAGCTGTTTCGAAACCCATAAGCAAACGACGCACAATGACACGATCGTTTAGCGCCCTGTTCCACAAGCGGCTACTAAGCCTCGTGCGCAGCTGGGACCTTTACGTGGTATTTTTCCTTGGGCCGCTTGTGCTGTTAGCGTTGGCTACGTGGCTTAGACCACAGCAGAGCCTACTAAAGACTCTGAAGAACCAAGAAGAGACCCTTGACGTCCCAATCAAACTGGGCACCCACTTCCCGGACTCCACAGTAGTGCTCGGTGAGGCACCAGCCACCAATCTGAGCAAAGCACTACGGGTGCTCATTGAGTCCGAGAGCTGCACCGTGCACGCCACCGGAAACGTCACCAAGGAGCTCCATGAAATCATCGAGGATGACTTCGCTGCCTACATCCTGACGTATCCGATGGCTGTGGCCTTTCAGTCGAACACGTAAGTGAATTGTCGCTTTACAAGTTCGTGACGACATGGTTCGTCTGGATTATAAACGCAAACACGTACACGTAGCAAATTTGAACGACAGTTCATTAAGAGTGCACAAAATTCAGATACAGCAAAAAAGAACGTGAAGCACCCACAAATCCCCTTAATCATTCACAACTGAATCCTCATAAGCTCGCGGCCCGCAGTTCTCGAGAGCTATAAAATTATAATGAAAAGCCGAATTTTCTACGGTGCTACTTATTGGGAATCTAGTGAGCTCTGCACGTGCGCTCTTGCAGGCGTTCGATGTAAGTGAAAGTACTCGCTAGACTTACGGCAATAGAATTCAATAACAATGTTTCATAGGCAGCTGATGTTGGTGTTTGGTGGCAGCAAACAAGATCTATCCGGAATTCGGTTCAGCGTAAGTGAAGATGGTCCAAGGCAGCTTGATAGCCAAGGGTTACATCTAGATTGCCATAAAGAATAAAAGTTTGATGATTAGTGACGTAGGCATTTCAGTGAAGCCAGGGCCAACTACTTGTCTTGAAAACGACTCGAAAGTGACCGCAAATAATGCGGGTGTGCGTTGCCCCCATAGCGCGCGTGAAAAGTGCCCAACGGAGGTTCTAGGGATAGGCAGGAAACAATGGGATTTGTATCGTTAGAAAGGGCTCCTCCAAAAGATTCCATTGTTGGGCGATGGAGGGGATGCGAGAGTTTTTATTCGAAATGGGCTCCCCCTGCGCGGTCGCAATACACGTTTTTTTTCCCGGTGGCGAACGCCATTGTTTAGATATTGACTGTGCGTAAAACTACAGGAATGGGCCCTCGGCAGCTAGGAAACAGTTCTTCTTTTGTGTCAGTTGGTTTCACCTTATGAACTCAGTTTACGAAGATTAGTACAAACAAATATGCAATCATGTCACAAAGTCCAAATGAATGAACGTGAGTTGGTAAAAACTAGTTGAGCCGGGAATGCTGCGAGCCGATCTTAGTCGTGTGGTAGACCCCTAACTACTTGACAATGCTTATGTACATATATCTGATGAGCTTCATGCAGAACGTTCATATTTCCGCTCACTGAAATGTAGGAAGTCCCTTAACCAAAACTAAGCCTACGTATATAAAACGTAAAATCTTTCAAGCGTACTTTTTGAGGAAAGCAAAGGGCTGTTTGTTAAGTGAAACTGTCGACGAATACAACGGGCCTTTAAAACAAGGGCTTGAATGATGGCAAAACATAGTAGTATACAAGTGCTTGCTTATTAGCAAGCGAGAACCTTTCTTTATTATCCAACGAATACCACGTACATTTGTTTTTACAATATTATTGCTTTCAGAAATGTATTGGCTAACTACAACGCATATTCGCGTATCACTAAGGTGTATTATTGCTGCACTGCTGCACCGCAATCTTGCTCTATTGTATTCTTACCTAGCTGGTGTGCCACTCCCACTACTTACTACTGCTGTCTGTAATGCCTTTGAGCCTTAAATATACCCTAGGTTGGTATGTCAGCCATGCCTTCTACTCAGCCAGATATATTCGTTTATTCTCTCTGTCTCTTGAAGTCGTCACTGACATACTATGTCACATGTTCACACCCAGAGAGCCAGAAGAAACACCTTACAAGTTCTGGAAATTCCGAAGCAACTATGTTTTTTGAAATTTTGAAATGGCGTGTACAGTCGTTGTGCGAAGTGTTTCCCTGCAACCGTGAGCTCTGACACGGCGATATTATCTCTCTTGCACGCAGCATACGCATGATGCCCAACCCGACGAGTGCTATCACGTCTCCGATCATCATCAACCTCGTGCACACCGCCTGGTTGCGCGTGCTCGCGGCGCAGCCTACGCTGCAGAACAACATCACGGTCACTTACCTGGTCGCCGTTCCCTTCGAACCCTTGCTAGCCCTCTTCATAGAGAGAGTAGTGGGCTGGCTCTACTGGGTGATTGTGGCAGCCCTGACCTACACGATGTCATTCGCCGCGTACGCCTCGTTCCCCGTGGACGAGCGGCTAGGCGGCGCTCGTGACGTCCAACTTATGACGGGCATCTCGGGCACAGAGTTCATCTTTGCCCACTTCGTCTTCGACTTCCTGTGCCACTTCGCGTACTGCGCGTCATGGTGCACCATTCACTACGCCTTTAGCTTCTACTCGTTAGGCACAGCCGGTAAAGAATCATTTTCATGTTTTTTTAGTACGGGGATGAGAGCAGGTAAATAACTAATTAACGCAACTTAACGCATCTCTCATAATGATATGGTGGTTTTATGACGTTAAACCCCACTAATCTATCTATCTATCAATTTTTTGCAAGTTAGCAAGCTTTACGCTCATCAAAAACGCAGTGATTGAAAAAAAAGCTTAGGCAAGTTGTTATTAAATTATAACTTTTGTACAACTGCATAGCCTTTGCAGGACTACAATTGTTACCACTAAAAAATTAAACGTAGACCTCCGAAATGAAAGCGCAGAAAATTGGACGGAAGATGTCTGCGAGGACGAGCGTATGAAGGATGCGTAAGTGCTTCAGCTTTAATGAGAGCTTCTCTTGTATACGTGTACTTAAGAACTCTCTTTTTCTAGTTAGACGAAATATTATTAATATATAGGAGACAATAATGCAAGGAAACTATAGGGAAAGCTATAAGAACTGATTGTACGTAAATGTGAAGAAATAAAAGGGGATGAAAAGGTGCCTTGCCTTGGGCAGGAACGAAACCTTTCACCTCTGAATAATGCGTTCGATTCTCTACCAACTGAGCTACCACGGGGGCTATCCCCAATGCACTTTGTTGGATATATATGTGAATTGTCAGTCAGCTCCACTAGCAGCAATGACGGCGAGTGTCGAACACTCTTTATCAGTCTCTTTGGCGTCACGTAGCACAAACTTATAGCGAGCTGGCAGCTGACCAATAATCCCCCGTATCACCTTAAGGCACCAAGTATGCCACAAAGAGTTCTGGCAGATTTGGTGGCCTAACTTGTAGCCAGTAAGCGAAAAGCCACACACTGCCACTGACAGTGGCGAACAGAGCATCGGGCGTCGGTAGAGTGACAACTTGAAAGCGCGTCATCTTTCACGCATGTTTCATTGCAGATTCCCGCGTCATTTCTAGCAGCATGTGTAAGTTCCAGCACAACATCGGCGTTTGTGTTTGGCAAGGCGTTTGTGTTTGGCAAGCAATTTCATCGGAAAGTTCCAAGATTATTTAGGCATTATCTAGTTCTCCAAGCGCGCTTTGCGCAAGGAAGCAATTACATCCCAATTTGTCGGTAACATAACAAAGACACAAAGAAGTGAGTGTAGCAGTACGATTAGTTGCTGTTAGAGCAGTTTTGTTGAGTCTTCATTTGCTATGGGGCCACCTATTGATAATGTAGAAAACATTGTGCCATATCGGCGAAATGCAGTGAACTCTTGTTGGCAGGAACGTTGGTTTAACTAATGTTTCAGAATTCTTTCAAAATATTGCCGGCGGTTTATTTGTGCACTCTATGACAAAAATCTTTCGTTTAACGAACTGCAGAGTAGGGGAGGTTTGTAGTACCAACCCAATCTGCGGACCAAGGCTAATTTGAGACCAATTTACTTGACTGCAGTGCCCTGTAGCTTTGGCATATTTGATGCGTGCGGCCCCAAATAGCTCACACATGAGTGTCGGGGCAAGATTATTCTTCATGCAGCACCACCGAATCAAAGTGCTCGTGCGTCAAGTCCTCTACAGTACCAGGGCAGAGCCAAAATATTTGAAAATTGTTTCAAGTTTTGGTCAATAACCAAAAAAAGTGTGACAAAGAAGTTTAATGAATGAGACAGGTTTAAATCTTATATTTCCAGCTTAGGCTGTACGGTATATACAAAGAAACCTTGTGTCACAGAAACAAGCTGAGCCACATGTAATAAACAGAAAAGCGGTCTTTCTGGAAAGCGTTGTCTCTTGCGATTTCAGGGTGTCAGTTCAAATAATTACTAAAAGTATTGTAGAACTTTACAGAAGTACCTTGAGAACAAATGTTACCTTTATTGTTTCACTTGATTTAGTAAATATGAGTAAAATTTATTTAGGTCAACTATTTATTTGGATCCCTTCAAGTTTACTAATGGGGATAAACATTGTATAAGGCTATATTACACAGAATAAATTCACAGGATGATTAGTCTCATTGCTCCGAAGCAATTTAAAAAAGCTGTGAACATGAATAAAGCTACCTAGGGGCTACGTTTAACCTAAAGCAGTTGGTCGAGCATATTTCCGTTGAAAGAGACATAAGCCGAATGAATGCCCTCGACTCGAAATGTATAAAGAGATAGCCTAAAATTTTCACAATTTTGGCACATGTGATGCTCCAAAGTATGCGATGGCTAGCTTAGTTTACAATAACATCTTTTATGCAAGCAGTGCTCTTTCATATTGTTACTCAAAATCATGACAGACCGCATAATGAAAGAGTAAAGTGATGGCAAATAATAATACACACAAACATTTGTAGGGTTACTACGTCCCAGAGCCATATTATGATTGTAGAGCTACTGTATAGGAAGGCTCTGAAAACATAGATAATGTCGGTTGCATTAACATGTACCTATACTTAAGCGCTTCTAAATCTAATCTAAATATAACTTAGAAGTGTGGCAGCTTGGGCTAGTTGGTATGGCATGACGATAGTTGTAGCGCGAGAACAAAACGACGACACAGAGAGAAGAAGTCTCTGTGTCTTCGTGCCTTTCGTGTCTTTCTTGTCTCTGTGTTGTTGTTTTGTTCTCGCGCTATAACTATCGTCATGCTAAAAATATAACTTTGTTCGGCATGTGGACGCCGCTGCTGGGATTCAATCCCCAGTCCTTCGGGACAGCAGCCGAGCCCCATCGTCACTAAACCACCCTGGTGTGCATTTATCAGAGACGTTTGTGCAAGGGAAGAAAAGTATATTTATAAACTGTGTATGCTCATTTTCTTTTGTTTTAGCTCTTCTCTTCGGTGCTCTTTTATCCTTTGGGCCAGTGGCTATTGGCGTTTGCTACGTGAAGGCGGAGTATTCGAGTGCTTCAGGTTCTGCAGTGGGTTCAGTTTTCCTATGGTTCTATATCGGAGGTAAGCAGGGATGCGATTTACGGGCAACTGATGTTTAGCATAGAAATGCTTAGGTTGTCACGCTATTCCTTGAAATATTCTATTAAACATTGTGCGGACAATCATTTAATAGGGGGGGGGGGCACAAAGCCTTTTTCATACGCTTACAATTTCACGCTCATAGTTTCAGGCGGGTCTCATAATTGCGGTCTCGCTAATAGGAAGGCGGCTATGTTGTACTGCTGCAGAACAGAAGTTTCATCATGAAGCCCTATGAACTTATGCGAAATCAGCTGCCATCTGGCGGCCATGCTGCACGTTTTCGCCATATTGAAGGCTCAGCAATCTACAGATATGTTCACAATGTATAAGCGTTGGCTGATTAAAGCGGCAATGCCTACATATCCTCGTGTACAGCGTTGCTCGGAGGGAGAAATAGGAATGGTGAAGAAAAAAATGGTTCCAGATCTGCATGTTACACAAATATGTAGTCGAAAGACGATAGTGTTACGTCTGGAGAGAGTGAACAAAAAGTTTATTTGATGTTTTGCGCAAGAAAATTGGTGAAGGGTATTCTGGAGGCGCTCAGTTAGAGTGCCTTGAGAGTGTATCGGAGACAAACGAGTGGATCGAGGCACGTTGGACACAAGAGCCATCTGGCAGTTATCTTCGAAAACGAAGGCGTGCAGCCCGCGCAGCAAGATGCGCGCCAGACTCGCAGGTGATAAGGTGTAGAACGCAAAACGACGGGCAGATGCCACCACCGTGACGTCGTAGCAAAGCGTTGCAAACACCTTTTTGAGCATCACGTTGCACTGTTAGTGCAGCGCGACAAACGCTACGTTCCTTAGAGTTACTTGTGTGTGCCTCTTCTGTATAAAGGCAGACATACAAAATTTCGAAGTGTTGTTATGGTGCCTCAGATATGCGCAATAATTGCTTTTAATTATTACAATCGCACAACTATGAACGCTAAACCTTGAGCAATATTGGTGGGCGCTGCGAATGGTGTTGGCATTTTGATGCTGTTTGAGGTATTGTTAGGGCCGACAAACAGACAAATGTACAGACAGACAGTCAGACAGACAAAAATTTCTCCGTTGAAGGTCCTCAAAAAAGACCATCGTCTTTAAAAATTGGCCCCGTACCTGAATGTTACACTGCAAACGTCGTGAACAGACGATAGTCTTGCGTCTGAAGAGGGTGAACAATACGTTTATTTGATGTTCTGCGCAAGAAAATTGGTGAATGGTGTTCTGGAGGCGCTGCGTTAGAGTGCCTCGAGCGTGCAGCGGTGGCGAACGAGCACATCAAGTCTCGTCACACGTGAGACATGAGCGCTATCTGGCAGTTATCTTGAAAAACAAAGTGCGCGCGCTCTGTGCGCCCGTCCTAGTGGTGATAAGGTGTACTACGCAACGTGACGGGTAGGCGCCACCACCGTGCCGTTTTAGCAAAACGTTGGAAACAGTTGACTTTTCGTGTAAGCGTTGCATGGTCTGTGCAATATGATAAACGCTATGATCCCTAGAATTGCTTATGTATGCCTTGTCTAGTAAGACACACACATAAATAAGACTGACGTGTTGTTATGGTGCCTCAGATATGCGCAGTAATTGCTTTTTAATTTACAATTGCACAAGTACGAATGCTTAATCTTAGAGTGATACTGGTGGGCGCTGCAGATGAAGTTGGCCGTTTGTAGTAGCGTTTGGCTACATTGTTGCCGTTTAAAATACCCTCAAGTGCGGACAAGCAGAGAAATGTACAGACAGACAGACCAAAATGTTTCCGTTGAAGGTCCCCAAGAAAGACTATCGTCTTCGAAAAGTTGGAAGGCATACGGCAGAGTATGCCACCACCATGGTTGCGCGCGATGGAAATTAACGATACAAAGTCATGCTTGCACGAAAAGCGACACAGTTTGGAACAAATCGGTCTATATGAAAGCAGAATTGTAGTGCGCACGTTGCTTCAGAGTATACCGTGCTTGTAATTAGCCAAGACAAATGTGATGTTCTGACTTGCTAATGTTTAAAGGTTAAAAAAAAAAGCACGCAAAAGAAATCGCTATTTCAGGATAAAGATGTAATGACATTCCTATACCATTCCGTAAAAGTGCTTCCAAAGGCTGCCCCAATTCATTCCAAGACCGCGAAAAAGTGGAATTAGTCCTGAGTCATTTAAATGCCATAGTTGCCAGTACAAAACACTGCTACTTACTACGAAACTACGGCGCACATGTTCCGCAGTTATATTACACTAATTTGGCAGGCATTGTTTCATACCTCGGCTAGAGATTGAAATATACATTAAATTTGATTGAGTGTACTGATGCCCCCCGAAAAACGCTTTGACGACGCGTTGGTACACAAGAAAGTGAACTATACTTTGAAAATTATGGTTATGGCGGTGGGTAATTAAGTAACACAGCAGTTACTTGTTATTTATGGTAGTGTTTTTCAACTATCTGTGTGCGCAGAAATTTCTAGCTTTTAGGAAATGAATGCTCCGACAACTTCCCACTGCAATAAGTCGAACCTCCGAGCTAAAGTAGCGCTTAGTATATACATTATGCTTAAACGTGGCAGATGATGACTTTGTACGGTGTGTGCTGGGCATCTGTGTGATGGCTGATGCAGTAAACAGCCCGAGAACGTGAATCGCAAAGTAGTATTGATAGGCAAAGTAGAATTGAGGGTATACAAATATTCCTCGCATAACTTAAACTGTACTATCAAAATAGCTTCGGTATTAGCCGATATATTTTAGAGGTACTGCTACAGAGGCTAGACACTCCGTCTGCGCGAAGGGAGTTTCACGATTGCACTCACCAGCAGGTGTGGTTTTCAGCAAATGTCAATAAGCGTTTCCCGGTCACAGAATGCAATCACACTAGCGGGAAAAGAGACAACCTCGAAGGGCACTTGATTCGGTACGTGTGGCCTGTGTATGAGCCTTAAAATTATTGATTATTATTATTATTTAAAAATACTGCCAATCCCTTGTCGGGATTTTCGCAGAAAGGACATCAAGAAAACACACAATAAAAGCACTCAATAAAAACATCCGTAAGTTATACATCGTTTAGGATACGCGTTACATTGATGCTACCAAGTTCTCACAATTTCTAACAATCAAATTCAAACAAATTCTAACCAAATTCCAACAACAAAGTTCTAACAGTAATTGTACTATATCCAAATGATTACAGTGTGGAAGAGTCAAAATAACACAGTCTAAAACAATGGATTTTGCAAAGATGACCACAATAGCGCAATATTAGGGTTCCAAACGCAAATGTTCTTCAACAAGACGTGAAAAAATATTTAAAGAATTGCTGCTAGTAATCATAGCTGCTAAGCTGTTCCATTCCCTTATTGATGCTGGGAAGAATGAGTGTTTGAAACATTCCGTACGGAATGCGTATTCTTGTAGCATTTCGGGGTGCTTCTTACGGGTGGGTCGTGATTGTTGAAGTGTAATGTACCTGGAGGCATCGATGTTGGTTTGCTTATGGCGTAGCTGGTACATGAATCGTAGGCGTGCTAGTCTTGCTCGTTTTTGCAGCGTTAGCATGCCCGCTTCTTCGAGCATTTCAGTTGGTGAGTCTGTTTGCCTAAACTTGTTAAAGATGTAGCTTGTCGCGGGAGTACTGAAACTTCTAGAGTCATTGCCGTTACAAGCTTATCTGTGTCGTACCCTTGGCTGTCCTGCAACGCTAATGTATTGTAGTCTTTCATTGCCACTGAAGTTGACAGTTTGCGTCGTGTCGTTTTTACGGCGGTAGCAATTATATGAACACTCTTGACTCGTTTTTGCCACCGGCGTCACTCACCGTATATGAATACGTATATATATTTATGAAAACGCAAGAAAGAAAAAAAATCCAGCAAAAGACTCTGGCACAAAGAATCGAACTTCGAACCTCTGCATCGTGAGTGCGAGGCATTGACCACTGAGTTACCGGAAAATACGTCCTCCAACGCGCAAACGGGAAGCTATTTATATCTGCCACTTACCGCTGGTGAAAGGCATCTCGGAGGAGAACTATTGTGTTTTTAGCGTGAACAGCAGGATGGCGCATTGAGCACGCAGAGGCGCGCAGCCTGATTTCCTACGCGTACTTTGCCCTGCGGAGAAAAGTGCTTGGTCCACTCCTGAACGCACATTTATGCGCCCTTGTCTCGCGGTTGCGAGCATCTTATGTCTTTGCTGTCGTTAAGCTTTCACCGGAACTACTCTTGTAATACCGAGCGCACAAAGGTCACTGTGACCGCGCCAGACACAGCAAAGCAACACCTGAGACGCTTATTCGCGTTCATCTGTACTTGTTAATACGTTTCATGCGTTATTTGTGCGTGAGAAACGCGGGGCACGTTTCTATCTGCTTGCATTCTCCGCGTGACCTTCCAATTTGTTTCTACCACGTTCATTGCTTCGCCTTTGCGGCAAAGCCGTGAAAATTTTTGTCTATAAACCTCGTGCTAGGCGTTCAGCAGTTGTACCTGTGTGAATTGTTTTTCTTGATCAAGGACATCGCATTGCTATGACGGCTAAACTGTATTTCAGGTGCCATCGTCACTGCAGCAAGTACCTTCTTTGTTTTGCTGGGTTGGCCAGAATACACGCAAGTGCTTTTGTACGGCGTGCCTCCATACGCGCTCCTTTCCCTACTTAACAAGATATGGAACAACGAGGACAAGAGCCTGCAGTGCAAGGAACTGCAGAAGGAAGGAATCAAGTTACCGCGAGGTGCAGTATAAACTTTCGCAGTGAAGCGGTACACTTGTATAGTTTGTCAAGATCATTCATAGCTCCTAACGCACGCATAACATGAACACCGCAATTTAGCGACTGCCGCAACAAACTCAAACGGCGGTTAAAGTTAGGGTGACCTTCGTGCTAGAAAAGTGCGAGGCAAGCTGACAGGAAGAGGGCAGGGAGCATTGCTAGGTCGGCAGTAACTGAAGTGGTCGAATGAAGTGGTCGATGAATTCAAAATATGTGGGCTATTTCAATAGAATCAACGATTCGGCTAATTGGTTTAATTGCTTGGTAACTTTGTGGTTTAGGCGCATGAAGAACGACAAAGAAACACAAGACAAGCACTTATTCACAACTAAATCATTTATTGAAAAGAGAAGAATATAAATGCACCAAATAGAGATAAACGCTTGTGTCTGAAAGGCAAGATGATATTCATGGCAACGCGTGAAACACCATTTAACAAAAGCAGAAAGATTCTAGAATGGCAAACTCATTTTCATTTAGCGACACCGAATATTGGCGGACGCACTGATCTGCTCTTTTTCTATATGACGTCCTCCAGTCTCTTCTCGAGTGAGTTAATTGCTACTACAAAAACGAACTTCACAGTTTTTGAAAACAGGGTAGCAGCCGCACACTCTGTGATGAATCGAGATGCGCCGCTCCTGAATATTTCAAAGATGTATCGTGCTCACTAGGATGGACATTGATGCACCTTCCTGACTGGCCTATGTATAGTTTACAAAATCCTATGACTTAAAAGCCTATGGCTTATTTACGACGCGTACAAAACTTGCTTCCCGCCAACTGAAGAATGCGGGTCTAAGGCGAGAAATCGACCCACGTACAAGCTGGATTGGTCACGTGGCCTTCCAACACGCAGCCAAATGCAGGAGAGCATGCGCAGATATCGGCACAAGCAGTCATCGGCACCTTAAAATGCGCCTAAATTTGCCTACTGCAGTTTATAATCTTTCTAATTTAATATACATCGTATAAAACATACATCATCGCTATATTAGCTTCATATGTACTCAAGGGCTAACTCTTGAGCAATAATTTTGCAAGACCAAGGCTGCTTTTTAGAAAAAAGCTAGCTCGGCGCCATTTTTTACCTCTTCAGGCATCGGACCGAATTGCGATGAAGGTTTGCTGCAGTTCAGCACGGACGGAGTGGGCTTCGAGTTGGCGTTCCTTCTTGCGGAAGGCCTGCTCTTCCTGGCTTATATGATCTTCAAGACGTCGGGCTACTTGAGTGCCGGAGACCCATCCCCGGGCGATGAAGCCGCCACAGACGAGGACGTCGCAGAGGAGGCGAAGAAAGTGGAGGCTGCTGTTCAGAAAGGCGACTACGTCAGCAACTCCATGTTAGTGTGGAGGCTGCACAAACACTTCGGCGCCTTGCACGCCGTGCGTGGAATCTACATGGCCCTGCGCCCGTCCGAGTGTTTCGGCCTCCTCGGAGTCAATGGCGCGGGCAAAACGACCACGTTCCAGATGCTGGCCGCGCTCATCAGCGTGTCGTACGGCGACGCGAGCACTGCGGTGGCCAAGCTCAGTGCAAACGCTCGCAGAGTAAGTGCCCATTTCTGACGGAGAACAGCATTCGTTCGCGTCACGTTCAATGGACATACAAAGTATTTTAAATTTCGCTCGCTCATGTATTTGAAATAGAAGTTGTCATGGAAGCCGCAAGTACAGCCGCTTTCTAATGACCAAACAAAACGCTAATATGCGCATGCGCCATGGAGTTACCACGGCACACCTGCGCATTACTACACACAACCGTCTCGACACCCCAACACCACACGTCCCCCTCCGCCAATCATGACAAGAAGATTAGCTTGCTTGCTGGGCCACTTTTGAAGGGTTCCTAAAAGACGAGTTCACGTTGGCCTTTCTCAGCGTGGCATCGCGGCAGAGCCAAGTCATCGGAAGTCAAAGGCTCATGAAGAGAGCAGAGATGTTTCCGTATTGGTAAAGTACAAATTCACAATCCTGAAAACAATACTCTTACTGCAAGGAGACACTTGGTAACCGAGACAACGCACGAAAAAAAAAATTGCCCGCAGCTTCCCTCGGGGGAACACTGAGGAGGATGCGGAGCATATAATTGGTTAACGGGGTGTTAAAGTGCGACTTACTTGGGTCGATGGCTAAATTGGTTAACGTGGTTGTGAAATGGGGTGTTAAATTGCGACTTACTTGGGTCGCTGGCTAAATTGGTTAACGTGGTTGTAGGAGGGGTGTTAAATGAGTGAACACGTACGACACGTATGGCTTTTTGGTCGGTAAAGTGAAGAGTGAGTGGATCGGGTTGCAGCGGTCGTAGGTCGAAATTTGCAAAGACGTGGTCGATGCAGGTTCCGCCAAAGGTGGTCGGCTGGTGGTGTTTGCAGTCGTCGTGCGTTGCGCGTCTCAGCGAGTGTCGCGACGCCGTGTATTCGACTATCCAATCGACCTCGGACGTCGACGCGCCGTACAAACCAACCGACGAGCGGCAACTGAGCGAGCGAGCACCGACCTTGAGTATATATACAGCGCGACGGCGCATGCATTGTCAGCTGTCGAATGTTCGAGAAGGGGGAGAAGCGCAACGGCGCATGCGCGCGCGTCAGCTGCCGATGTTCTCGAAGCGCGACGGCGCATGCGCGCGCGTCAGCTGCCGATGTTCTCGAAGCGCGACGACGCATGCGCGCGCGTCAGCTGCCGATGTTCTCGAAGCGTGACGGCGCATGCGCGCTACATTATACAGCTAGCGAATGTTCGTGAAGAGGAGAAGCGCACGCGGTGTGTAGAGAAAGAAGGGTGCACAGATGGTGGAGGAGTGAAGCGCGCGCGGAGTGTAGAGGAGGAAGGGATGCACAGATGGTGGAAGAAGGAGGAGGAAGCTTGCGGACGGCGCCGCACTACAAGCCTTGAGTATTAGATGCTCCGCATCTAAAACTGTGGGGGGACGCCACCTTGAGATCGCCGCGCCAAACGTCGTGACGTCATATTGAAGATTTCGAAGAGGTCTACTGAGTCCTACGTGGCCGCTAGTGAATAAAAAAATGAAGTACACTGTCATCTGCAATGATTGATATGTGGGGTTTAACGTCCCAAAACCACTATATGATTATGAGAGACGCCGTAGTGGAGGGCTCCGGAAATTTAGACCACCTGGGGTTCTTTAACGTGCACTCAAATCTGAGCACACGGGCCTACAACATTTCCGCCTCCATCGGAAATGCAGCCGCCGCAGCCGGGATTCAAACCCGCGCCCTGCGGGTCAGCAGACGAGTACCTTAGCCACTAGACCACCGCGGCGGGGCCACTGTCATCTGTAGGTTTCGTAGATATAGCATACGAAGTTACAGAAAACATTATTGAGGCAATGTCGTGGAAATGAGCAAAAATACATTGTGACATTTTGGATGTCACGCAGAGAGATTGCGTTACGAAATTTAAAACTCACACTTCAACCTTAATTTTCACCACAATTATTGAAATTCCAATAGTGAAACTTGTGGTATTAGAGTTCTCGGAGTACAGTCTATTTATCTAAACCATGTCAATATTTCATTTTAGTATTCCTTTTACCATGATGAACTGACGGAGGACCACGTTGATATTCAAAATACATGTCGCCATTTTAGATGTCCCGCAGAGAGATTGCGTTACGCAATTTGTTGTGTTGTGTTGTTGTGTTGTGTTGTGAGACACTGTAGTCAAAGACCCCGTAAGTTTGACCAGCTCGGGTTCTTCGATACGCACCTAAATCTAAGCACACGGGTATTTTCGTCCAAACATCGAAGACGCAGCCGCCGCTGCCGAGATTCGATCCTGTGATCAGCGGCTCAGCCACAGGTGCCGATGGCTGAAAATTTGGATCTAATCTTAGAGATGCCAGTGCTATAGCTAGGTACCGATTAGACTCCACTGCGTCTCCAACATTGCGCCGCTAGCGCAAACTACGCCCTAATCTTTGTTTTGTGTTGGGATATTCTATGGCTATACTGAATAGCTAATGAGAAGATCTCACATGGCGCGTAGATATATACCAGGTTCTCGTGTGTCAACAGGTTTTACTTAGGATGCAGCTGAAGCAGGTGACGCACTTAAAAAGCTGGTGATCACCTGCTTTGATGCAATACAGGCTGAATGTCAGTCGATTACCTCTTCAAGACTGTTATTTTAAACTTGCATAGTGCAATCTTCCTTAATAAAAGCAGTGAGTGACATCGTCGCTTCTCTCTTCTGACTTCAAGAATTTGACTAGTAAAACTGTTTAAAGCTGAAATGCTGCATAGTAAGTGGGCTTTGGCTGTCAGCGTCTTAGAAAGTATTAAGCACTCCGAGTTTTTTTTTTTGTCAATTTTAAAAACAAAACAAGGTTTGTCGATACAGATGGCCAAACACAAGCTCAACATATACATTTCTACTTCTTGTACTTTCACGCACACCGCAGTGGCAGTCGCAGGTCAGTTACTGCTTCCAACTGGGCGGACTGTTGGACAGACTGAACGCGTACGAGTACCTTTACCTCGTCGGTCGGCTGCGGGGCATCGCCGACAGTGACTTGAAGCCCATGGTGGACAGTGTTATAGCTGTCGTGGACCTCACGGAACACGCCTCGAAACAGTGCGGAGTGTACAGGTTCGTTCGTGTGAACTGTATACTTTACCAGTCTTAGGAAAAGTTTGAGTGTCCTGTATACCCCCACTCAGTATCTGTAACATCGACACTTTTGACCTAGCTTCCTAATACCATTCGAACTTCAGCGCATCACCAATTTTACTATTGCTCTTTTGCCCTTACAGCGCTTTATAGATTTTGGGACTCAATATAACAAATATGAATTGTATATTCTGCTCATCTTGTGAGATATGGAGTTCATTTTGTTGTTACCTGTTTGCTGCTAAACCAAGAACAGATGTCTTGGTAATATAGCTGACACTAATTTTACCAACAAGGTCGCCCGGATTGGGATTGTGTATTTCATATATCCTGACGGCATTCACGCTGCATGCTCCCCTGAATACGCGCATCATGACTTTTCTGTCAGCCGTTCTTGCTGCGTTTGCTAGGCGTTCTTGGTGAAAACAGTGTGGGCAAACTTGTCTTCTGCTTTTTTTCTTACTTGTGTTGGCACCTGCGCCTCGTTTCTTATAGTTGTAATATTTTCTGTCAGAAATAAAATATTTTAAAAAATACAAATAGATAGAGCTTTATAATACCAATTGGCGTGTTACTTTTCAAAGCGACAGTATTATCATCAGACGAGCAGTAGTGGAGGGCTACAGAAATTTCAAACCATCTAGTGGGCCTTTAACGAGCTCACACGGCGCAACGCATTCTGCCCTCTACCTTCTCGCGACCATCGAAATGTGACCGCCTGAGCTCGGATCTAACCCACATCTTTGAATAAGCAGACAAGCACCTTAACTACAGTAGAGCTGAGGCGTACGATACAGATGTAATCATAGACGTGAGAATGGAGGTAGCCAGGGGAGCAGGCTGCCTCCCAGGTCTTCTAAGAAGGGGTGGAAGGGGGTACTAAGTCAGCCCCTCACATTGACATATCAAGCTGGGGGCGTTGCGATTCAGGGGCAGGGGCGCAAAGACAGCCCCTTAGAATTCGCATAACAGAAAGGGGAGGAGTGGGGGAGGGGGAGAGTGCTGCGAAGAGCATTAGCTCCCGCTTCTTCGGCAAACTCGGCGCGCGCCTATGGACCATTTTAAGAAAAACTTGTTAAGTGATAGGGCAGTGGGATCAATTTTAACTTCACGGTTGGAGTTGCGTAGATTTTGCGTGAACGTGGAGTGAACATACAATAACCATTCGTTAAATATTGATTTAAAAAAAAAGAGTGGCTGCTTTGAGCATTTATAGGTCGGTCTGCATCAGCGCTTACATTTACATGTGTCATCAAAAGACGCCAGAAGTGGCGCTATCATTTCCTTCAGAAATCGCAAAAAAGCCTGACAAAGGGTCTAACTCGTTTTTCTACGGCCAAATGCTCGAATCGATAAGTGAAGGTTTTATGGCCCTTCCTTTGCAGTGGCGGCAACCGGCGGAAGTTGTCTATCGGCGCTGCACTGTTGGGCCTTCAGCCGTTCATCTTCCTGGACGAGCCGTACGCCGGCGTGGACGTTGTGTCTCGAAACAAGATCTTCCGAGCCATCGCCGAGATCAAGAAGCGCTCGAAGTCCACTTTCGTGCTCACGTCCCACAAGTGAGTGCTACCGTATCCACTTGAATGCATTACTGACAGGTTCGCCAGCAACCAAAACATTTCATGAGACAATCACGCCAAGAACAGCTTAAGAGAGATAATTGGTGCAATCGACGCTTGCACGCCCGATGCTCCAAGAAACAATCTCTAAGCACTTTGCTAAGACAGCGCAGATTTGGTTAAGGAAAAAAAAAACAGATACTGTCTATATATACATGTATCCTACGGACGTCCTTTCTGTGCTCTGTTGTTTCCTTAACCGAATTCACGTTCCCCACAGCACGATGTCCAAACAATTATCCCAACAATTGACCACGCTCAGAAGATGTTCTTGCTTTGATGTCGGGCAGTACGCACCATTACTAGATTATCATCAATGAGTAAGACCGGGCTACACGTCCTTGAGCCTTGGTGTTTACGGCTTCCCTGTCTACGGTTTTTAAACGCATCTTACTAAGATAGCTGATAGCGTAGCTAGTACAACTATTAGGATTCATAACCAATCATGTTTTCTGTGCATGTATCCCGATCTACTGCATTGTTGCTCATGCTCAGAGAAGTGTATTTGTATAGATTTCTCACGTTGTTGTTCATGCACACATGAAACAGTGCTTTTGCCACATCCATCAAATATTCATGCTGGGTTGGCTCACCCGCTAAGCCACACAAGAGGCCGCAACATATTGTGAGAACGCTCGAGTAACAGTGGTGATTAGGCCGAATGCCAAACGTAGCAAGAACGGTAACGTCGTCGTAATAGAGCTAAATACGCCTTCACCGAATGAATAGTATCGTTTTCCTAGTACTCAAGACAATTACAGAAGACCAATAAGCGTTTTTCGCTAAATATGCTTTCGTGGTATCCACATTCGGCTACTGCTATTCGAGGGAATAAATGTGGTACTGGTTATTGCTGCAAAAATATGTGTATAAATTTATAATTATTGCAATGGTGTGCTCTGTATGACTGACTGCCTGCAGCATGGACGAATGCGAATTTTCCTGCGACCGCATTACAATCATGGTCGAGGGCCACATGATGTGCCTGGGCACGCTCCAGCATTTGCGGGAGAAATTCGGCAAGGGCTTCCGACTAGAGTTCCTGCTGAAGCACACTGCCGCAGCGGACGCGCCCATGCTGAACGCGGCAGTGCAGCAGCTCTTCAGAGGCATAGAGCTGAAGCAATGCCACCAGGTACTTACCATTACTTGTCCTTACAGACAAAATAAAACAGCCTTAGTGGCTAGGCACGTGTGCAGGTTCTAAAGTAACGATTATGCAGCTAGGAGTTGTCTTTTTCTCACCTAACATACAACATGCAAACATATGCACGCACACACTCAGCTTCAATTTGCATCAGGACCTTATGTTATAATAGCAATGGGAATATTGGTAATTTGAGTACAGTATTGCTTGGTGCAGTGGTCTTTTTAAAGAGCAATACGTCGTAAAAAGGCATCTCCGTCAGTTGTTGGTATGCTGCAGTAGTTTTATATGTCAACAATAATTCTCAAAGTTTTGGCAAAAGAAATTGCAGAGTAAGCACCCTGCACTTTTTTACACAATACGAATAGCGAATGAAACAACCGTTTCATGAAGACTAAGTTGGCACATATGTTTAGTTTTCGTGAGTGCACAATATAAATAGAATCTCTATTTATATTACTTAAGAATTTATTTACCCATTGTGGCATTTTTTATGGCGCCGTACATGTTTGCAAAAATCAATGCCGAGTTAATTGAAGCTTTCAACGAGACTATACCTCTGCCCATAATGAATACAAAAATCCCGAATAACCAATAATTTTCGCAAAAACTTGACAGAAAATCCCAAAAAGCACTTCAGGAGCTTGCACCTGCTGGCCGCGCCACTGAAAACAGAACGCCACCACCCCCGCAAGCTCGCAATTTCTCAGACAATTAGTATGGTGCCTGCGCTGTGCACTTTATCGGATTTTGTGGTAGTGGAGCTACACTGAGCGCAAGACATAAAGCAATACCGAGATGCAGAAAAACATTATCGGCGTAGGATATAAAGGTGCTACTAAAGCAACGTGAAGACAAACGCACGGTTACACAAATACACCGCATTAACCGCGGTTTCATTATTCATTCATCGTTTTCCGTTTTGATGTATTCAGAGAAACGTCTATCTGTTGGCGGTTGGTTGATAAAAAAGCTTGCAAATTGCCCTCTATGCACCTAGTATTCCACAGGAATGATAGCATACAAGTTTATGTTAAAGCACATGCACGACTGTTCATTCCCTTACAGAACATTCTGTGCTACCACCTCGTGGTGAGAGTATACCTCAGGCACGATGTGGTTAGCATACAAGTTTATTTTAAAGCGAATGCACGACTGTTCGTTTTCTTACAGAACCTCCTGTGCTACCACCTCGCGGTGAGAGTGCCCTGGAGCGAGATATTCACCAAGGTGGTGCACCTCCAGAAGAACTTTCAACTGGAGCACGCTCTGGTGGCAGAGAACACACTGGAGGACATATTTTTGAACTTCGCCAAAGCGCAAGAAGCGGCCACAATGGCCGCTACTGAGAATGCTGCCCCTTCCACAGCACTACCGAGGCAGTCACCTTACACTGGAGCCCAGCGTCAGCTGCAGCTCCCACGTCCCCCGCGTGAAACGTAGCACGATTCCGGCTACCGCAACGCGCTTCATACGGGGCGCAATAAAGAACTGCGTTTCCTTAATTCGTATAAAACGCTGTAAGCTAATCGATTTCGTAATGCATTTTGGAGAAGTGGGGCAAAATAACTGACGGAGCAAGACCATTTCTAGTTGTTGCATAACTTTTCCGTATTAATAACCGATTATCGCGAAACAGTCTCTTTTGAAGTTTTATATTGATGCAATAAACGCATGACGCTCTGTGACTCTTCGTTTGTCTACCTTCTACGCAAGCGCTGTGCACTCCTTCAGTGATTTCATGTTACGTGTTTGTGGTGTGCGGACTTCTCTTGTGTTCACGGCATGTCTTTATGACATCCTTCGATAAGCCGATTTTCACTATAGATACCAAAAAAAAAATGAAATGCGAACGTATAGGCGGTAATATAAACTGTGTGTGAAATGTGGACATAAAATATAGGTCACTACAGAGGGATTTCCAAGTATAAAGACGTGAAGCTGGACGCATTTCTTTTTCGCAGTCAACTAGATTTTTTTCCTGGCCCTAATATTTCTTCTTTTTGTATGAGAAGTGTGGTTCCACTTACACGTACGTCATCTACGCTAAAATATATTGCAGTAAACGGGGAATTGCAGCGTGAGGCGGCCCTTTCCGCCTGCCGAGGCAGACGCGCGTCGCAGAGCTTTTTTCGGTACAGAAATGATGCGGCCGACGCTTCGGCTAAGGTCGCCACCTTGCGATGCGTATGGCGTTGAGAAAAGTACATTTGTATTGAAAACGCCCCAAATGAGGCGTACACGTGTCAACGATGCATTACAAGAACCAATGGTGCGCGCCGCAGACGTGATGCATTACTTGACTTTGCCGCTCCCAGAGAGTGACATCACTCCGCCGAGAAAGAACAGTGTGAGAAAAAAAAAGCGTGTGATATATAAAATGCGTGTTTGCGAAGCAATCGGAGTGTGTGACAGTAGGACATGCAGCCAAACTTGCAGAGAACTGACTAAGCCCTGAACCATCATATTTATGTAGGAGGCAAGCATTCACGGTGCCAGCCTTTGTCATTTGTCGGAGAAGCGTGGTACTTGCAAAACACTTGTTGGCAATTTCGTACATTTTTTTTATGCAGCGGCTGACGAAGACGCTGAAGTTTATGAAGCATTATGCATCAAGCTTAAGTAATGCGTTGAAGTATGCGATGACCCAGTCGTTAGGTATATCGCATTGTTTAAGGCCTAGTTGTGTACAGATTGTTCTAAAACACCTTTTCTCACATATTAGGTGATTCCTTTGCCGACATCAAATCTGCCTAGTGTCAGTTGGGAACCGAGTTTCAAGCACACGAACAGTATTAGCGGCTACTATTTATTAGGCAATACGCTTAAGGTATTGGCTGATGAAGACGATGCATTTTTTTGTTCGAACAAACAAAGTGTTCAGACTTTGTTATCTACAATAAGTAAACTCGGCATTGTATCAGATGTTCGTTTGAACGTATCTAAGTGCTTACGATTATGGCTTAGATTAGAAGGTAGAACGCCAGACAATATCACGATTTCACACGTACTCCACCAACTTAACTTAGTGAGCCACAAGATACGTAGGGAATCAGTGCGCGCTATATACTGGACAGAACGCGTTCCTAAGCTTGAACAACAGGCCCAGAGCACATCGTCTTTCTATCTTTGAGAGAGCCTAAGTTTGTAACACATTTTTAGAAACAATGCTGTACTATGTATTGCAACCTATTCAATGTGCTATAGGTCATAAACAGCATTTTCATGCGGCATTCGCACGTTCGTGTGGTCTTCAACTTTTGAACAAATGAGACGGAAAAACCTTTTCAGGCTAGTAAAAAAAGGAGGTCTATGATTACTTCAATTATGGTCGTAGTTCTGTTTTGGTTTCGCTACAGTTTACATCTGATATTTCGATCATCCTTGCAAACTACATTTGTTGATGACTTACTTCACTCTTTTGTTTCTTCAGATTTTTCTGTACGCCCGTGTTTGCTTGTGTGTTTGTGTATAGAGGCAGTTTTGAATCCGCTCCAGTTTCTCAGTCTGATTTTTTTATGGATTACTCTTACACAGTAACACGCAGAAAATTCAATCATGATTAGTTATTCATGCTTTTTCCTCCTCCGTTTTACCGCGCGATTCTGACCCTCCAGGACATGATGTACCAAAAATGAGCCCGAAAAATCTCTATTTCTTCTAATACAAAAACTCTTTCTACCGACTTCATACAGAGAAGCTGCCGGTTAACATTGATTGCAAAAGCAATGTACTTTCGTTTCTTCAGTTAACTTCCGTCTCTGCCATGTACCATAGACAGTAGGACACTGGTCTAATAACTGCAAAGATGAAAGATGAAATCCTGTTTTGAACGATCCTTCAACGGACCGTTGAAAAAGCTTTTAACATTGATTTACATACGTTGCGTTTCCTTCTCTCAGAACGTCTTGATGAAGTTTTGTTTTGAGTGATCTTTCTTATGGGACAACACAGTCTGTGCAAAACGCACATGCAAGGCCGTAATGCATAACTGACAAACTTAAGCGAGCCTTTCATGCGTATGGCTCTCTATTCAAATAACATTTAGGAAGAACTTGACTTCAAATAAGGAGGAGGAGGAGGAAAGTTTAAGCAGAAGGACAAAGAGCTTAGCCAGTTCTACTTCAAATGAGACTGGCACGTCATGTTATTGAAGTATTCCTACTTACAAACCATTTAAAGAACCTTTCCTCTTTTTATGGATTTGCTACCTATATATGTATCTAAGCGTTTGAACGCCTGTGCAGTACTTATGCGAATATTATGGCTGAGAGAATGCATAAATACGTGAAAGCAAATGGCCTTATTTTTTTAACACAAATTCTATCGTGTTCGTGGTAACATTATACATAAAGTTTTGTATTTTTTTATTTTGCGTGATAGTTGATGCAGATACCGGCTGTGGTAGCGGCCGGCATTGATGGAGCACGCGATTCTTGTTTCAGTCTCGTGACAGATATCGCTGCAAAAGCTACCATGCCCGCTCTTAGGCTTCACGACTAACCCATACCCTATGGCTGGCTCTGATTATTGCATATAATTTTTGAAGACAACTAATTACATGCGCATCTATGGCTGCGAAAGCTACAGTATTCCACAGCTAGATGCTAATGATAGGCGTGCGGTACGTTTACGTGCCCCACATGTTCACCTTACGTCCTACTCTGCATGATGTGCTGCATGCGTGCTCCTTGTGAATGCCATGGAACGTTCTCCTCTGCCATTCCTCTTAATCGTAACGATTTGCCGTTACGATTACGCGAATCCTGACTGGAATGGTCACGTTCCTTCGTTCCTGCCAAAATTAGCTAGTGCCTGGAATGTCATTCCTTAGAACGGTGTTTCGTACAATACTGTTTCAACATGCCAAAAGCTCTAAAGCTCTAAGTCTCAAAACATAAAAGTGGTAGATCGCATTTTTTATTTTAGCACGAAAGTTAAGTTGCTATTTGCCTAGTCTTCCAGAGCCTCGAGGCGCGAAGCCGGAAGTTTCTCTAAAGGGGGGGGGGGAGGCACCTTTCTATTTTTTTGGGGGAGTGCATCCTCTGGAAATCATTGCCTGCTTTTTATGCCGTGACTAATAAATTTCAGGGGGAAGACACGGGTCTGGTGCTCCACTTTCTTGCTACGCTCCTAGGGCCCCCAGAGTCCTCAGAAAGCTCGTTGAGTGCATACTTATTTTTTTTCAACATAACGCTCTCACGTGTACACGCGTTTGTGCACTAATGCTCTTTGCTCACCGATTTAACGCACCCCAACAGTGATTATGGTGATCATCACCACATAATGTAGTGATAACGTCGCTGCGTATTATACCGGGATCCTGCTGCCAATACGAGGTGTTTTCACAAGTCAGAATCCTCCATTCGTAATCTAATGAAAAGAGGAGAATGCATAGCTTCCACACGTATTCTTCTGCGTGGCTTGCTGGCACACACGTTTTTTATTGTTACTTTGCCTATAACAATACATCTAGGATATTTACCTTCATATATAGATGATAATGCAAAAGGAAACACAAAACCAGGCTTATGTTGTATTGTCTTTCAAAGTTTGCTGCTTCTGCGCAGAATTTAAATAGATGAGTCTCTCCTTTCTTTTGTTGGGTGAAATAACAGAAAAGTCATGTACTATTGTATTCCATGTGGAAGTTTAACTTGTTTTATTCTCCACACAAAACGGGATCGTAGACTTCGGTTGGATATTGTGTATAGCAAGCCGTAGAAAAGTACCTTACACATGGATGATCTTCGTTCCACTTGTGAATGTGCGGCTTCTCGCCGATTTTCATGCTCACCCACAGCTCACATTTCGCAGAATCTAAGTGCAACATACGTATAAAATCAGTGAAGCTTTACGACCATTTTAAGAAAAAAGCATTTCTGTGCGTCGTGTTCAGATTGCCAATTTTTCGCAAACGTCTGCCCTTAGGCCTGAAGTCACATCACATATTACATTCACAGCAATGCATGGTGTAAACTGTCCCCACTGGAACTCTATGGGAAAATGGGTACAATATTCTCGAACGTTCAGCCACTAATTCATGGGAGTAGACATGGGAGAGGAGAGTTGGAGGCTTCAAACACTCCTACATTTTCTAGGTTCTATGTATGTTTGGTGTCATTTTATAGGTTTGAGACTTCTGGTAACATCCCCGCGTGACTGAGAGCAAGGTACAGTGGCTGCCGTAGCTATTGATAGAGTAAATTGAGGCAAATAGTAGATGGGCACACTGTTTTGTATTTTTTCTAGCACATGTATTGTTTTCGTGTTTCCAGTAAAGTTTTTTTCACATAATCACCTTTTTTTTTATTGTACCCTTGCTTCACTTTCCCTCTAATGTTTTTCGAATTTCGCTTATTCACTTTCTTATTATATGCTCATTACACTTTAACACGTGCATCTCTTTTTTTTTGAAACTCAGCATTCCGTGCAAAATATTTCCTCTACAAGCTGATTTTTTGCAAACATTGTATTCAAGCTGCCCGTGAAAAGAACATAATATTTATGCTCAATAAATCTTATCCTATCATTTCATAGACCCTTTGCGATTCACTGCGTTCTAAAATACCTGTACTGCAATGGTTTTGCTGTTAAACATCGGGTACTGATATCGGGTTAGTTATCCTAAATATGTACGCCATATGGTACTTATTCATCACAAGTACTATCTACGACGTTTTGATAGCTGCAGTTAGCCTGAAGATTTATTTACGAATTTCTTTATCGATATCCGATTCTACCACACCTATGACAAAAGCTACCCAAGTGTCTGAACAAGGCAGCGATGTTAGACAATTATACCATTCTAACTTGCAGGTTTGTTTTACGTTCAAAGATTTATGTTTAGTTTTCAAAAAGAATCCGTTCGAATGGAGCTTGACTAGTAGTTAATATTTCAGAACGTGTCCGTTGGATACCTCTGTACAGTACAAATATGCAATTTCCATGTTTACGAAACTACTACATAGCAAATGAAGGTCCTGTAATTATGAAGAAACCCATTAAACTTTTGCAAAAAAAAATAATAAATCGCACTAGCTGTACTAAACACAAATACTATTCATACCAGTTTCAACAGGGTCCTTGGACAAAACTTTCAGAACCGCGCATTCATCATCGCAATATGCGAAAAGCCATTCGGGTTTCGGAAGGTTATAACCAAACGCACCTGCGCAAATAAATAAAAAATTTGGTAAAGTTAGAACATACAAGGGTCTGAAAGGTTGAAGTGGCTGCAGGCAAGATTGTAGAACCAGGCTTTTTGTACCTTGCCATAGAGATTTCAACCCAAATGTTTAGATTAAGGCGGCGTACCTCATTTAGTCATAGCAGTGCCCGTAGACCTTACAAGAGCGGGAGTTAGACACAAAGCGCCTTGTACTTGTTCGTGCGAAGGGAACGCGCTTAGAGTGCCAACGCACAAAGGTCAAATACAGTAGTCACCTGTTGTAGCGTCAGTGATCATGGCACCCTGTTAAAAAGTGCTTCAACAAATTTGTCCAAGATACTCAAAAGTCTTTAATTATGTTTGCTAGCTGTCTTCAAAACTACTTTTCATGTAGTGGCGGGCATCTGAAGATGGTTACAGATGTCATTTGAGACATTAAGTAGGAATGTTGACAAGTTTGTGAACTTCCTACTGTTAAAAAAAAAACCAACTAGGTTAATAGCATTGAATCTCTCGCTGTATTCTTTCCCACAGCAATACTATGTGTTTCTTCGTTTCCGGAAGAAGTGTAGCAATTTTCGTAAAATTCCGCAGGTGCAGAGGAATAGCAGGACCGGCAAAACACTTCGCATGAGGATTAACACAACATTACAGACACTTAATTTTGGCGTCCTTACCATTGTAAAACACGGGAGAAGAATGGCAGCGCGTCAGCAGCGTATGCACGCTAAGCACGCAAAGTAAATTCAACTAGGGCAATAATTTCTTGCGGATCTTACGATCTCGCTGATGCTGTAGCGTTCAAAAATGTCAATCTACGTCACGAACATCAACGCGAAGGATCACAAAGAACACACACTCTTCTCAATGCACTAAAGTTGGTGTACTTCCTTGCAAGGCTTCTGGTTTTCTGTGCCCCATAGCACTTTAGTCGTCAGACCATGGAGGAAATAGGCAAGGACGCAGTTCATAAGAAGCAGCACTGAAAAAATAAGCAATAATGATAGTGTCCATATCCGTATGACGTCCGCTCACGTTGAAGTGTCCATTTATTCAAAAGAAGAAACGGACCACTTTAAATGCATATAAGACAATGACATGCGGCAAATGCACACACTCATCAAGCGCTTTCTGAGTATCATTATCATGCATCTGTCTGGTCATGTTCTTTTTTTTGTCTTTCATAATAGGTTCATTCAATTGAAACACTCTTATTATGTTACATCTTTTCAATATTATCGTAGCAATGTTTTTTGCCAAGTTCTATTGACTTCTGAAAGATCGACAAAAATGTTCAGTTAATACGTAGTAAAGTGCGTGCAAACGAAGCACAAATTAAGCAGTCCATGCCATGTGACTGGCTGATCGTAGTGGGAATGCCATGATCCACTAGGCGCGGGCTTGAACTCCACCTCTATTCGATTGGATCGTCGTTGATACAGATACCAAGGATAATCATTTATCTTTTTCGTTCCATTGACATAATGGCACATCCCTGACTGGTGAGTCCCCTTGACTGTTGCATGCGCCATGATAAACCTTGTTTCGTCACTTCTTTTAGGTTCACTAGAATGATTGCTGTGATGTGACTTTTGTTCTCACATGTCACTGCTAATAATTCGTCCTAGTACTCTATGGCACTACTAACAACCTAAACTCATATATGGAAAATATCAAGATCTCTTGAAAAAATTTAAAAGTGACGAAATAAAAAAAAGCACAGGAGTATATTCCTGAGTGATTGTCAATGGTGGAACCATTATAGCTCTGAAGGAATTTTAAAATTTGCTTCTATTCAGTAAGACTAGCACTACTTGTCGTGAGCGTTACATCATTGTTTATGTATATAGTGTCTGGAAACAGGCAATAAAGCAAAAAAGAGCGTCTGATCATACGCATGTTATACGCACCCGTGCAAAATCATACAAGTACTCGGCGCCAGGTCGATCGTATCAGTGATGCGGGAAGCGGTTGAAAATGCGGGGTAGCGAGAGTAACAAACTTAAGAAGCAACAGATCGATCTGACATTCACCAAATAGTCGCTGATGGCCGTGCATAAATTTGATGGTTGTGATGGCCGTTCATAGCCCCTTGCCTTCAGCAAGTGTTATAATCAGTACCTTGACATTAAAATATAGGCTGTATTTTTAAAAAAAACTTACTGTTTATGAGGCTTGAATTCACATAGTTGAATAGATCGTCTCTTCGGGTGCCTTTCAGTGTATTATCCGCGGCATAAAATATAAGAAAAATTTTGCCACAGGCCTGCCAAGTAATAAAAAAAATTGCAACATAACATCGCTTAATATACAAAATATACACAGATGGCAATGATAAATAATTCCCCTGATTCAGAAAAAAAAACAAAAATAGTTTTGGATTTTTCCACTCACAATATTCCTAAATAGAGGGCTTCTGTTCACATTCTACTCGCATAGAGTTTGGTGTTATGCTTGCCTATTTTCGGCACAGCGACTCAGTACACTTAATCAAATGTTGACCTCCTGCACCATACATTATCTACATTCCGTGGTATAATTTTACGCGGTATGTTGTTTTGTTTATTCTTGTACACTTGTGTACTTCTGCATGAGCTTTTTACAAGCATGCAGCGCTTTGCGTGCCATAATTACATAAATACTTGCAGGTGTGTTGTTCCCGCAACGAGATCCATTTTGCCATTATTGATGTCGCTATACCTCTTGTCAATTGAGAACTAGACGAAAGGTTGATATGGCACTTATGAAACAAGATGACACCCCTTTTACCCTGTCCTATAACCGGTGGCTTGGTCGCATTATGTGAAAGATGCCGATTCAAGCACGCAGCCAGGAGTCTTTTTTGTGGGGGGAGGGGAGGGACAGGAGCTTGATTGTTCGAAAGAAACATTTTACGTTGCAAAAATAAAAAAAAAGTAGGTTACTCTGGAATTTGACGAACTGGACGACCTTCAGCAGGGGGAGGGGGGCTCCTTTCCCCTGCCTACGCTCTGTTCTTACGACGTGAAATTATTTCTTCGTTTTATTTGGTGCTTTATCTAATGGAGGATGGAAGAGTACGTAGCTGTGTTTGAAACTGTGTGTGTACCTGAGATGACTTGCCTTTCGACTGAGCGCCTTGAAAGAACTCTCAGGCGATGGCCAAGGATCTTCAGTAGACATAATTTTCCCCACACTGGCACCACGCGAGACGTCTTGCGGTTGCAGCAGGAAGTTGCATTAAGACATCAATACCTCTCAAAACAATGTGCTGTTGACGCACAGATGACCGAAGTTAAGTGCAATAAAATACTAAAAGATCCACTCTATCGATTTCCAGTTTGTCGTGACCACCACACAAGTTCCAGAAGCCGTCCTAGGTAGTTCGATGGTGTAATACCGATTTATATTGTAGCCACACTGCCGCTCCGCTCTGGTTGGAATGGCTTCTTACCAGTCTATAATGGATTGGCCTATCCCCATTATCCTATATATGCGGTGCGGCCATGCGGTTTAAGCATACCGAGGCCTGGACCTCACCAGCGAAATTAGCTGTCTGTGTGCCGCTCCCTTTGCGCAAGGTGGTTGCTTCCGTTCGCGATTCACGTAGAAATGTGGATCCATCTGACATCGCTTACGGACCACTTCGCACTCACACACCGCAGCAATAAGAGACAGGGTGAATAGAGGCCTAACGGGACAAGCCACAACACACACTGCTCAAACGAACGCATCAGGGATGCACCCAGAATTATTTTTTGGGGAGGGGATATATCTTTTGTTTAAAAAGGGGGAGTTTTGTGCTCTGCATACCATGGCGACAAACCATTCGGGAGGGCGGAGGACACGGGCCCGATGTGCCACTCTCCAGCTACACCACTGGACGGCTCTGCTACTGGCTGATTGTTAACTTGGACACCTAGTTGAACGCCGTCCGTCGTAACATGAGCCGGGGCTTCTTCTCGCCAGAGACAATATTAGGCTATCACAGCTGTCACACGGCAGTGTTATGGCTATCATGTTTGAACAAAGTGGACAGCGCACGTGAATCTCTCATAAACACAGCAAATGACACGCAGCGCGCGAGATAAGTCATAGGAAAT